GCCCCGGCTCGTCCCCCCCCGGCCGGGGCGCGGGCAGGCGGCTGCGGTGCAGCGGTCTGGGGGCCTCTGCGCCACTGCCGTTGGGGGCCTGGCTGTGCCGCTCTGCTGCAGAGGCAAGGGGACAGACAAGGGGACAGACAGGGGGACAGACAGGGGGACAGACAAGGGGGACAGACAAGGGGGACAGACAAGGGGGACAGACACAGCCACGGGGTCAGTCTCTGCCCTGCAGTGATGGATCCCTCCCCCAGAGCCACACGGCTCCCTCCGTGCCGAGGGACGAGCATGCAAACGCTGAGGAATAAAGAAAACTGAAACAGTGCTGAACAGCACAGAAGGTACTTATGGGTTTCTTTTAAATTCCCAGTACTCTTGCTCGTGAGAGGCTGCAGACTCTGCTTTTACACTCCAAAACCATCTGCCCCATCCCTCTGGCTGTGTGGAGACCCAGGCACAGGGTGCAGCAGCGCTGCTGTGACACCGGCTGCGTGCTGCAGCCTCGGCGCCAGCGCTCCTGCTGCTGCTTCCAGTTCAGGGAGACACGTAAAAGCAAGGCCATCCCCAAGGACACGAGCAGCCTTGTGCTTTTAAAGAGCAATTTGAGATCAAGCATCTTTTGCAGGTGCCAGAAAGTGTACTTGTGGTATTAAGCCTAAAACATCATCAAAGCTCTGAAAACTAATGCAGAAAAAGCCTTCCCATCTCTTTGGTGATGATGTGATCTAGGGCACAGCTTGCAGTGACAATTAGAGCAAACTGGGTGCAGGGAGAAAGATGATTTTAAATAGATGTGCCCTTCAGTGTCGTAATAGGGGCCTTAGAATTTCCTTACACTCAAACGAATGTAACAGCGGAGTTGTACTTGGGCTAGAAAATACTATCACTGGGTCCTGAAAAAGTGCTCCAGTGTTCTCGTGGTGGGTGCGAAGCGCCAGCGGCTGAGCCAGCCCTCGGGCTGCTCCGGGGGGACACGCCAGCAGCACGCAGCCCACCCCAGGCCGGCTCAGGCCCTCCCGCCCCGCCAGCTCCACTCCGCAGCTCTATTCCCATCACCTCGCGTTTTTGCCTCTGCTGCAAAACCTTTCTCACAGCCAGAGCCAGACTTAGCTAACGGAGAGCACTGCAAGTAACAGAAAAGAGAAATCCCCACGCAGCTTGAGTCGTGAGGTGATGCGACCTATCTGTGAGTGGTCTGTTGCTCTCCTGTCTCACTGAACAGACCCCCCGTGCTCACGGCCTGCGGAGCACAGTCCTGACCTTGCTACCCACACTGCTCACAGCTCCTGAAACGGGGGGACAAGAAACGGGAGGGGTGCGAGGCAGCCAGACTCACCTCCACTTTCTTCCACGGAAGCGCCGAAGAAGACGGGTCTCTCCCTCAGAGGGCGTTTGGAAATGGTGATGGGTTTGTGCCGCCGCGCAGCCACGCGGGGAGGAGGCACCGGTGGGGGGGTGGTGTCTTCTGGAGGCCCGGAGTAGATCTGTGAAGGCAGACGTGTTCCGATGCCCCAGCCCGGGACGAGGGGCTGCTGCCCGCCCCCCCAGCTGAAGGTCCACCCGCCCGGCACAGAGGTGGATGGTGGCCACGGCCAGCCCCTTCCCTGGGCAGGATCAGACCCCCCCCGGGCTGGGCAACCCTCTGAGGACAGTGTGCCTCGGCTCCCTCGGCTCCCGGGGAAGGAGCTGGGCAAAGACCCAGCCCCTCCGCTCTCCGCCGGAGAGTCACCGGACTGAGCCCGGAGGGCTGGAGAAGCCGGGGCTGCTCCAAACCACCCCGACACTCCGCGGCCCAGGAGAGCCAGGCCGGGCCCCTGCACCCGCTGGCTCCATCCCTCAAGCCCCGCCGCTGCCTGGGGTCGGCAGCACGGGGGGAGCCCCGTCGGTGGGGCTGGAGGGGGGGCAGTGCTTTGGTTACGGCTCTGCAGACGCGTCCTGTCGCGGGCTTCCCTAGAGCCCGGCTCCTCACGCCACCGCAGCGCCGGGCTCCTAACGCACCACGAACACAAAAACGCGAGAAGCAAATGATCCTGGGGTGGGCGAAGGAAGCTTTGAAGGCGACACTTCCTGAGAAACAAAGATTTCCGCACCAGCGAGGCGATACAATCTACAGAAAGCACCCGAGCTAACCACCGCATTGTTTTAGATTTAACGCCAGAAACCCCCTTCACCTCTTGGCTTCCAAGGCAGCGTGTGGCACCATGAAATTATCTTGGATGAAATACTGCCCTGAACACAATGCTGCTGGGGAGTTTCATCTCCTTTTCTCACTGGTCATATGGCACCTACCCGGTTGGGTTTAATTTAGAGGTTCTTATTTATGGCCGTGCTTTTTTTAATGAGCTGAAAAAGAATGAAACTTCTGGGCAGTCTTTCGAAGATCCGAAACACCACATTAAGGACAAAACCAACTGCCCTTGTGTTTTTCCCATGGATCTTCACTGAACGGCTCCCTCCAAAGCGGGAGCTCCTGCGGGCAGGGTGGCAGGAGCTGCTGCTGCCCGGCCGGGGAGGACGCGGCGCTGGTCCCTCCCGCTGCCCCACGGGACGGCTCAAGCCCCGAGGAGGGGAGCTGGTGCCGGACCCACCGAGGAGCAGAGTCACTGCTCCTCTTGTTATGGAACAACAGTCTGAGTGTGTCACCCAGAAAGATTTTAAAAGGAGGAAATGTCACATTCTGATTTGATTAAGTACATCATTTTCGTAATTCAAACCAAAATCACGTTCTGTCTTCTCCCAGCCAAAGAGCAGTTCCGGGAAATCAAGATGGGGATGAGAGAGAAAAACAACCTCCCTTTAACCTTCTTGACCCCAAAGACCAGGCAGCGGGTCCCAGGGCGAGGGTGGGCACCGGCCTCCCCACACCTCCCTTGGCCGGGCAGCTGAGCTGCAGCCACCGAAAAGCAGCAGCTCATGTTTTATTAAAATAACAGAGGATTACCTGCAGCAGGGCAGATGTTTTGGAAACATCAACCTCATTCCTATATATCGAGAAGAACCCAGTATTGCTTTTTAAAGAAGAAGCAGTGTTAAGCTCCCCATGGATGCTTATACAGGTACCACAGAATGCTGTTATCACGGGATGCTTTTCAACATCTGAAAACCATGCTGGAAGCCACTGCAAACTCCTCTTTTGAAGATGTGGATGCAGCCTCTGCTTTCTAAATTAAAATCCAATTTAAACAACTTGAAGGAACAAAGATATTGACAGACCCTCATATTTAGAGGGTTTGTACAGCAAAGAAGGTGTTTCCAGAGCAATCATCTTATTTAATTTAACCATGGCACTGATACATAAACTGTGGAAACAGTAATTATCCACAGAGACTTTGTGAATAGTTACTTTGTCCTTAGAGTCTTCATTTCACACCGTGTAAACCTCCTCCCTCTCTTCCTCCAGGCTCATTTAAAGTGTTTGCTCATGTGTGAGCTGCAGACACTTTCAGCTCTGACACTGAACTTACAAGCTCAATCGAATAAATGTTACTAACTTAACCTTATCACTGAAGAAATTAAAAGCAAGCATAGAGATGCCTGGCTTAATTAAAGATTTAATTCTGGCTCCTGGAGGTGTGTTGGCTCAGCCTGCATCACGGGCTGTGCCAGAGGGGAGGACAGAGGCTCAGCTCTGCAGCAAGCTGTGTGAGGATCCCAACGCACGGTGGGAACTAAATAAAAGTTCCTACACAGACCTACAAAGACACTGGCACATGATTTTCATGAGCTTTCCCTGCAGGTACTCAAAGGTCTTTCCAAGCTCTTTCACCCCACTTCTCTGGTTTCAATCCTTGGCACCACATCTGACCTCCACCCCAACCCCTCTCTGGTTGCTCTGACCCCACATCCACTCCTGCAGGAACCTGCTCCTTCAGCTTCGGCCTCCTCTTCCCCGTGTGTGTGCTGCTACCCCATCCTCCCGCAGCACGCAGCATCCTTTGAAGGATGGCTTCAAACCTTCCCCTCCTCCAGGGCATCAGGGATTGTTTGGACACTGTAATGTGCATTATTTTGAAAAGCTGAAGGACCAAACTTGCACCTTCAAACCCAGCGCTGTTATCAGGAAAGCAATCTGGTCCGTGATGTGCTGACCCACATGCAGACGCTGATGGAGCTTTTAAATATTAACAAACAGCCCTATCACCCTCCGGGGCACCCCGAGAACCCTAAGTCCCTGTATCAGGTGTCACGAGGAGAACGCGCTGATACAGCAGAGAGGAATCTCCTGCTTTCCAGGAGACAAAGCGCTGCAGGGCACAATGCTGTTGTCTACACGTGGATCTGCAGCGCCCTCCGCAGCAGCCTAACCAGGCTGGGTTTAGGCACTGCTCTCAGCCACAAATACTCAGCCAGGCTCCCGGGGAAGGCAAAGGCCGCCAAGGCCTCACAGCCCCACACCGAGCCTTGCCTGGCTGCTGCCTGAACCCTCCTCTGACAGTCCCACCCCGGGCCTCTGGGCACAGCTGAGTTATCCCCCTCAGTATTGTCTGCGTCGGGCTTTTTTCCCTGGTATTAATAGCTCTGTAATGTCTCAGCTTGGACTGTGCCCACTGAAACCAGTTACACTCCAGTCTAGCTCCTGTCTTAGCAAAGGAAAGCATCAAGTCCTGCCATGTCCAGGCACAGAACAGGGTTTTTTTTCAATACAGATTCCTCTTATTTAAAAAGAAAAGCAAAAATCCGTAGACTCAGGTTTCCTTCAGAACTAGCTAAAGGCAACAGGGAGGCACATATCTGCTGTGCTTTGTCTCCCTCTGAAGCATTTCAGAACAGTATACAACATAAAACAACGCTTGCCCCTGAGGAGACTCCAGGAGAAGGAGCTGGAGCAACGGCTGGCAGGAAGAGGAGGGAGCTGCGGGACCCGCCGGGGCTCCAGCCCTACCTTCCCGAAGTGCTCGATGAGGATTTCCACCACGATGTTTTGGAACTTGATGTTCATCATCGCCGCCACGGTGTCCTCCTGCGCCCGCATGAGGGTGGGCCCAAATATCACCCCCATGTTCGAGGGTGACATCAGGTTCTCCCGGCTGTGCTCGCAGACGCTGCGGAGAGGAGGGAAACAAGGGACAGGGTTGGCTTTGGGTCGGGTTTTTTCAAGCAGGTCTTACTCTGAGCAATCAAAAAGGAGACAGTAAGAATCAGTCACTCAATTTTCTTCATCTGTTTCAGGAGAATTTGCTTCCCAGCCCCATCAGAGATAAGACTTGTCTCTAGCCATGCCGTGTACGTTTGGCTAGGGCAACTGTTTGGGAGATCAACCCCAAGAGTGCTGACAGCGTTTTTATTTGATCCCTTCCCGCTCCCAGCTCCCCTTTTAACTCTGCAGTCAGAAGGCATCTGTGCAACACATACACAAAAGAAATCATTTAAACCAGAATATCCTATTTATCCAGAACTGACTTTTGGCTTTTAATTTTTCCTCTCTCTGACAGAGGAGGACTGAAGGCAGGGAGCACACTTTGGAGGTTTTTGGTAAATCTCTGCACAGGATCTTCCTTCTGAAAGAGCCGCTGTTTCACAGAACAGAGTGTGCTCTGTCCACAAGCCTCCGAGCTCCGGAGGAACGCGGAGCGGCACCAGCTGAGGTATGACCCACCGAGGTGGGCACTCCCTGCTTCCAGCAGTGAAGCATGAGAGAGGCTGATGCTGACACGTAATGAATTCTGGGTTTGCCCTGTAGCTCTGGTGTTAGAGGCTCCTGCCAGCACGGAGGGGAGAGGGAACAGAATTTAAGCGTAAACACTTCAAGCAATAAACACGGTGACCACAAGCACGTTAGCTTCATCGGACCCTGCACCACTCTCAGCTCTGCCACTTAGGCAGAGAGGACTTGAAAAACCACACAAATGTGTGGGTGAAAGGCTGGAGCTGGGGGGTGAGCAGGAAACCCCCGCCAGCCCTCCTCGCCCCATGCAGGTCCCAGCACTCGCCTTCGAGTGTCAGGGTGTGACAATCCTGCCCAGAGTGCAGATCTGGAAACGACTCCTCCACAGGCCCAAAGCCAGCGCTGCCACACAGCTGCCTCTGCACGCCCTGGTCTCTCCTGACTCGCACACAGGTGGCTTTGGAGCTTCGGCACGGCCCCTCACCAGCCTCTCCCCGCTGCACCCCTGCTCCTCCCCGGGGTGGGTCGGGCAGAGCCCCCAGGCCAAGCCTTCGCCTGCGGCGGGACGAGGAGAGAGGCAAACGTCTCCCCGGCGCAGGCCGGTGCCGTTATCCCCAGGAAGAGGCTTTCCCAGTGGCCCTGGGGGGGCACGTGGGAGCTGCACTGCCCAGGGCCACCCTGCGTCCAGTGCCAAGGGAGAGCAGAGGGCCGGGCGCAAGCCGCCGTGCTGCTCCACGGGCTCAGACACCGAGTCCACAGAGCTGGAGGTAAAACCAACACAGGCTACACGTCCAGCCCACGGGCACCCGTCCTACAGCCGCTCCCCAGCCCCGACCGAACGGCCTCGTTAACCGGGGGGAGAGGGACAATGTACAGCTCTGCTGTCAGAGCCGTCTGACATTTCATTTTCATTTTATAATTATTTCCTGCTTGGTGCTTATCAGAAAGGGGATGAAAGTGGCAATTAGAAGGAGAAGCATCACTTAATGCAGCAGGTAGCAAGGATAATCATACACTTGTGCAGTCCAAACGCAAATTCCTACAACAACTGCCGTGGATATAATTTGTCAAACCTGCCACAAAAAAAAAAAAAGCTTGTTCTGCTGATTCCATTCTTCCCCTTACTTTGGCTCCAGAGAAAAATGTCTGCTTACTTGACGAGGTGTTGTATGAGGAGCTCTAACATCTCTCTGTTCTTGTCAGGTAGTTTATAGACCAGCGCGTGAATGGCTCCCAGCCTGTAATCAAGGTTCTCAGATTCTGGAAAGAATTAACACAAAGAAAAGTTTGTGCCTGCCACTTGCAAAGTAAATACATAAGAGAAAGATAAAGCCAAGGAAAATCTGTGGGAGCTGTCCCTTCTCCAACGCGGGGCTGGCTGGCCAAACCCAGATTACACAGCAACAGGGTACTCATTGTGGGAAACAAAGTGGCACGGAAAGAGGCAGAAATGAAGCCTGAAAGGGAGCTCGGGGTCGCACTCGGCCCCTGAGCACGGCCAGGGAAGCGGGTTGGACGTGGCCGGGCACCCCTCCACACCCTCGCCCCGCACCCCAGCACAGCCACGCACCCACGGCCTCTCTGCCGGGCACCTTATCAGCCCAGACAGCTGGAACTCTGAACTGGGCGGTAAAATGTCATGCAGGGAAAAAAAAAAATCGAGTCCCTGACCCCAAGGGGTCACCCTTAGAAGCATAAATAATCAAGAAACAATAAAATACTGGGTGTGAAAAGAATAGTGTGGGATCTCGGGAGCTGGGAAGCTGAACGGTGCAAGTTTCTGAGGGAGGGCAGGGAAGGGATTAGTTTTGCACCTACCCAGCCATCATGGGTTTAACCAGTTCTGAAACTAATAAATCTCAGGCTTGAGCACAATTGGTAGGTGGTGAAAAACTCTCCTTTCCAAGAAAAAGCAAGTGCTACCACCGTGGAGGCCCCGGGGCGTGGAGGACGCTGTAATCCGCAGGGTTCCGGGGTGAGCCACGCGCTTCCCCGTGCCAGCGCTCTCCCGCTGAGGGACCGGACCAGCTCCCTGTATCCCTCTCGTCTCCATCTCCTTCGGGATGCAGCCCAATCAGAATTATTATGGCTTATTGGAAATGGCCAGCACAAGCAGGGAGTGGGGCATTGGCAGGGACAGCCCTGTCGCTACCCCCGTGTCACCTCTGTCAGCACTGCCTGGGGCTCAGTCCCAAGGGCTGAGTGGAAAATGTCTTTCACCTACTGGTAGACACGTTGGATTCAACATCCCAGGACAAATTCCAGCAGCTAAAGGGAGCGCTTATCTATTTGTGTGGCAACAGCACATCCCATTCCCTCACAGGTTTTAAAATATATTAATAATATCAAGAAACGATTCTTCTGGGACGCTTGTGCTGCTGTCAGGCTAACTGACAGCCCCTGGCTCTCAGGGCCGCCGGGAGCATGAGGCCGTGTCAGAGGGAAGAGCGCTGCAACAGCCGAGGGTAGGAGGGAAGAAACACCAGCACGTCCTTGGACGATGAAGCACTCGGAAGCGAGGGTGGCACGGGGGGAGAGGCTGGATGCCCCGGGTGGGGCTGGCAGAGCTCTGCCAGGTGATTTGGGTGTCCAGTGGCTGGGGAGGGCAGGGCAAGGGGCATCGGCAGGGCAGCTGCAGGACTTACTGGCAGCCAGGACCAACTCTTTGTGGAGCTTGTAGGTCATGACGGGCTCAGAGAGGTTCCTGCAATAAACAGAGAGAAAACTGAGCTCAGGCAGGGCCCCGCAACTCGCTGGCAACTGATCTCGAAGGACCGACGGGCAAACCTGCTTGTCCCCCAGCACCCCCAGGTCCCGAGGGCATCTCCCCCAGCCAGCGTTATCGAAACAGCCCTTCCCATGGGATCTGGGGTTTCTACTACAGGCGTATTTCTCAAAAAAATAAAAAATCCATTCCTCTTCCCAAAGCCTTCGCCACTTCTTTGTCCTTTCCCACAGGCAGATGTTCACAGCTGGCAGGTCACTTTTCGCCTGCACCAGCCCCACTGTCACCCCCCCGCGCAGGTGTGACCTGCAGCGCTACCTGAGGTAAAACTTCAGTGAGCTGGTGATCGTCTTGATGTCCCAGTCGCCGCTCTGGAGATCCACGTCCCCTGGACATTTTGGATCTGGAGGAAGAACAAAATGGCTTTGAAATAAGGCCCGTTTTGAGGCTGTTGGTAAGCAGCAGCTCTCAGGGAGGGGATGCTCTCAAGAGACGAAGCTACTGCAGCACATGAAGAAAGCTGCTGATTCTCACAGCTGGGAAAAGCAGAACAGTACCAGTACTCTGGGCAGGCTGAGGAGCAGTGCTCACTAGGGACAAAGGAAGAAGCAGAAGGTAACACCTGAGCAGTGATGAAAAGTTCCTGAGGGCATGTTCTCCAGAGTTTGCTTTTTCCCAGCACAGCCAGGACTGGCAGAAATGACACGTTTCAGCAGATCCAAGACAAGCTCTCTGATACCCGAAGCAATCTGAGTGCCCAGCTCCAAGCCCTCCTTCACAGCTACGCCCCTGAAATCTGTTCTGGAAACTCCCCCCGTGCTGCACGGGGAGGAGGCAGCTCAGGACACTCTGCTCCTGCCTGCCCTCGCCGAACAACCACATCATTTCTGTGCCATGATGAGGTAAGGGACGTGGCTGGAGGGTGGGGGGCAGCTGGACTACAGAAATAATTCGAATAATTTATTTTTAAAAAGAAATAGGACTGGAGAAAAAAAAATAATAAAATCTACCTCTTTACTGAAGCTCAGGGTGAAACCCT